AGTCAATTATGGGACGATTCTCATAAAAGTCAGTAGAGGTGTTGGCTCGCATAAAATTTCCTTATGTCAAATTTCATCGCTATACTCGTGTATTTTTTTAGCTAGAAATGAGTCATTTTCTGAAGGGAACCTTATATGGGGGGTAGGGTCAATTATGGACCGATCCTTATAAAATTGGGTAGAGAGATTTTGGCTTATATCGCTATAGTCGTATTTTTAAAACAGTAATGCCAGTTAAATCTGTTTTTCGAGCGTCCACTTATATGGGGGCTATCCGTAAACGTGGACCGATATTGCACATTTTTAATACCAAATAAACCTTACCTGTAAGGAATATTTTTGCAATCCTCTACCTCTTTCCGTTCGGCCTCTATCGTGCTTTCAACAGACAGACGGACGGACAGACAGACATGGCTAGATCGTTTTAGAATTTAATAAGGACCCAGAATATATATACTCTTATGGGCCTGTGACCTATATTTCCATATGTTACAAACGGAATGGCATAATCAATACACCCCATGTTTTTTGATTGTGGGTATAAAAATAGGTGAAAATGAGGTGCCAAATATTGGAAAATCTTATTCTTGAGTTAAAAAATATTTAATCTACACGGCTGTGATTCTATAAAAAAAACTATAAGAGGAGAATTTTTGGTGCTTTTTAATCAGAAACTATCAGAGACAATCGAATCTCTCTTTAAGAATTTGCAGAATTTGATCCATGACTAGTATTAACTCTAAAAAATTATAAATATATTTCAAAAAATTTCATATACATGTATAATAAAATTTGGAACCACTTACCCTAATATTTTGTTTTAAACGCTCGGCTTTCTGAAATTAAATAAAAAAAAATATTAATAAAAAATCCTGACTTAATCTTATTTACTGGGAAATCATTAAAATTTATATAGAAAGTATATGAATTAAGTATTTAACAAATTGCTTGGAAAATGGGTTCGAACGATAACATCACCAAAAACAATAAAGCTTCAAATGTATACATCATCAATCATATAGTTGGTTACACAGTCATTGTTCTATAATCTATTCCCCCCAAAACCACTGTTCATTTCATCGACACTTAAAACATGTTGCATGTATTTATGTATGTGCAATTTTTAACGGAAAAACATTTTAACCCCTTCAATGATTCAACATTGAAATTTTCTGGTAAAATCAACAACAACTACATTTTCTTTTCAAAATTTAAAATCCTTTTTGGAGAGAAATATTGCTGCTACTAACCACACAACATAAAAACATGCGAAAAATTAAAACTATGAACAGTTTTTAAAAAATAAAAATAGTTCTGGAGTGCTACGATTGTGATGATGAAGTTCAACAACATAAAAAAAGATTGAAAATTAAAAGAAAAAAAAAAAAACTATTTGCAAATAAGAAGTGTTGTTGCAAATTAAAAACATATTGTCATGTGTGTTATTTTTCATTTCATTTCTATGCAATTTTGCATTAAAACAAAAAAAAAAAAACACACTAGGATCATCATAGTGCAACGCAGATAAACAACACAAAATATTACTAAAAATATCATCCTTTTCATAAACACGTTCTTCTTGTGCTCTTCTTAAACACAATATTTTTCTTTTTATAATTTAATTTTTTTATTATATTTTTTTCTTTTACCTAAAACTGCGTTTATTTTGTTGCAATATGTTTTTTTTCGTTATTTTTTTATTGCATTGTGTTTGTTGTTTATTTTATTACATTTTCCTATTTTATTTTTCGCCACATGTGTACTTTGGCGTTCATTAACTTTTTGCATATTAATAAATTGTTTCTACAACAACTACAATTTCAACAAAATTTCTTTAGTTTCACCAACAACAAAAGAAGTTTTCGAGGCAGATATGTTAAAAGTAAAGTCATTATTTTTTTATATTTATAAAATATTTTTCTTTTCTATATTCCACATAAAACAATTCTTTTAATATTTTTTTTTTTCATATTATTTTTGTGTCAGAATATAAAAAGGATTTATTCGCTAAATAATATATGTACAATGAGCATAAAGGAAATTGCCAAATTTAATGATTAAAAAGCATTATTTTCGATAGCATCAACAACCCAGCAAAAACTAGGCAATGGATTTCAATTGTAATTACATACCTAACATCATACTTTTCAATTACTACTACATATTGTCTGGATTACATAGTAGACTACTTCTATAAGGTCTTACTAATAATGTGTTATATAAATACTTTCTAATTCATGACTAATGAACTTGACTTGTGTACGTTTTCTCATATGATTTACAAAGACTACTTTTTCTAATTACTTGTAATCGTTTGTGGTAAGTACTTGCCTCCAATGACATCACCGTGTTAAAATAATGACTTAAAATGCTATTGTGTAAGTAAATTTTAGCATTTTAACTTCTTACATTGCAATGAAAGTTTTTACTGGGAATATATCAAATAAAATTTAATATGCAGAACCTGATTCGGGTCCACAATTGATAATAATTGCTTTCATTGTCGGTTTAGCTAGAAATGTGTCCATTTGGACCTTGATCGTTTTGGTATTATAATCAATAGTAGAACTGTGCGATTGATTTATGAAGGATCAGAATGATCTGTTCAGATTTTATATTTTTCAATTATTCAAGATTCAATCGAGAATCAATCCTATAGTTAATCTGCTTTTATGCATATGCATAAAGCAGCCCTGATCTGCAGCAATAATAAAACAAGTAAATAGTGCTAAAGTTCGACAGCATTAACGATACTCATACGCACACCACAACAAAGGCAATACCAACAACAATAAGACAAACGAGTAGGAAATTATAGTCGGGCATGGTCGACCATATGAGACCCTAACCAACATTGACCATAAAAATAAGCATTTTTTATAAAAAAGCATTTAGATTGAATTTAACTTAAATTCCTATATTTTTAAGAAATTTATTGTTGAAGAAAATTATTTTCTTTTAGAAGGCTTTAGAATTTATATTGGAGTTAGGGACAAATATGGACCGATCCTCATTTGGAGGAAGGATTTATGGATACAAAAATTGTAATTACTGAATTGACTTTATATTGGAGTTAGGGACAATTATGGACCGATCCTCATTTGGAGGAAGGATTTATGGATACAAAAATTTTAATTACTGAATTGATGATATAGACGTTTTCTAAAGTGGATTTTATATGGGTGCTAGGGTCAAAAGAGGTCCAATCATCCCAAAACTAGGTAGTGTTATTTATGCTTATATAAAACTTTGTTGTGCCTATTTTTGAAAGCTACTAGTTATTTTATTTTGAACTAAAAAGTTCAAATCGGAAAGTCCGATATTAATGGTTATGGGTTATTTTCTCATTAGACTCTAGTATGGGGGCCAGATTCAAACGAGGGCCGATCATTACAAAAATCTGCAGATTCATTTACGCTTATATAAAAATTTGTTGTGCCGATTTGTGAGGAGCCACTAGTTTATTTGACGTAGCTATGAGCTGAAAATTCAAATTCGGAAGGTTCGGTTGTAAATGAAAACATTTATGATCCAAATTTCATCAAAACATCTTGAAAATTGCGGCCAATACCTTGCGGTTTGTATGGACAGTAAGCTAGACGGACGGACAGACATGGCTTAATAGGCTCAGAAAGTGATACAGGGTGGATCGATATACTGTAGGATCAATATTTTTGTTTGCTACAAACATTAGCACAAACGCATAATACCCCGTAGGGTACAAAAACAAAAAACAAGATATCGTCAACTATATTTTTTTCGAATCATTATTTGTGCGTTTCAAAAGGCAAAAAAAAGAAAAAGAAACACATGTACCATGTGTGCCAAGATCGCTTGCTGTCATTTGTTTAGCTAAACTGAGTGTACACGTTGTTTAATTTATATTGTAGGTTGTTTTTGTTGTTGATGTTGCAAACCCTATGAAAAGGGTCAATTGGAAAAAATTCCGCTTTCTGTTGGCAAGTGTTTACATATGCATGTCTAAATAACGGATGTAGTTCTTTTGTTTAATTACATTTGATATTTTGTTTTTGGACAAAGGATATATGTATGTAGTCCTCTTTCAGTTTTTTAAATGTTTTTAAATAAATAAACACACATTTCGAAGAAATGCTCCTTCCGGTTTATGACTAAATATAATATTTATTAATATTATTTACTAAATATAAAACACTAAAAGGAAAGTGTTCTAAATTGGAATAAATACATGATCATTTATTTATTCCAATAACCTAGCCTATATAGGCCATAATCGGTTATAAATTTCTACTTATTATAAAGAGAACAAAACAAAATATGGATGAAGATGTATTTGCTTGCTTTTTTGGACAATATTAACTTGATCGGGGCACCTAATTGAATATCAATTCCAATAGGGTTCATCAATTTGCATAAAAGCATTCATTCTACTACGAAAAGATCAATAAAAATAAAATCAAAACAAACCGTTCTTTTCACAAAAATTTGGATCTATGGCAGTCAACGGCAACTGCAACAACAAAAACAAATACATGCATATAAAATAACATAAAATATACGCACTAATAAAAAACAAAATTTTGAAATAAAAAAATAAATAATTAGAAAATAAATATAAAAAACAACCAATAAGAAGGAGTAAAAAGTATTAAAAAAACCCAAAAAGTAAAAGCACACATGTAAATAAAAAAACAACAAAAATAAAATGTGCAGCATGCAACACACATACAAACATACACAAATATCTGAGCAGCATAACAAAGGGAAAATCCATAAAGTACATTTTCATAAGCAGCAGCGACAGCGTTATTAACAGCTATGGGCGACTGAGGAAACTATAGGCGACGTTTAAGCATAAACACATTGAAATTGCTGGGGCTGCAGCAGCAACCGCAGCAGCCGTAACGTTTGTAGTTGTCAGGGGAAGAAGAACACAAACTGATCCTTAGACGTGTGTTTAAATAATGAACATCTTTTAGTTTAATGGTTTATTCTAAAACGAAACGTGGTGCGATCAAGATCTCGTTAGAGAGAAGATCGGTAAAAAGACAAAGAATTATAAAAAAATATCAAAAAGACGTGAATTTGACGCATCACTTTAGAACGTTCGTTGTTAGACAAAATAAATTTTTTCTATATATATTTACATGGGGTTTTCCCAAGAAAATTAACTGAAAATAAGCGAAAAACACACATACATTAATTTTTGGCAAATGAGCCAAGAAAATTTTATTTGAAAATAAATAAAGAAAAAATCTTTGTGAAAAAAAGTGAACAAATTATAGCAAGAAGTGTGGCTAAATGACATTATACACGCGATTCGGTGGCTCTATAAATTGTGTTATGATTGATTAATATTATTAAAATAAGAACAAAAAAAAAAAAAATAAATAAATAATAAAAATAAAAAATGTTTATGTGAAATTATTAAAACATTAAAAAGATTTAAAAAAAGTTAAAAACAAAAAAAATAAAACCATTAAATTAAAATGTCTTCCACTTTAAAAATGAATACTACTATGAATTGTCAAAACCTAAGCATTCCCACACAAAAATCATCAAACTTAAATATGTATCACGAATTGACACAACCTGCAACGCCGCCATATACACCATTCTCCTCTGCGGTACATTGCAATGGACAAGTTGAAAATTACAACACTACGACAACACTTTCACCACCAATGCAAACTCCAGTAAATTGTAATTTAATGTCTCCACCATTGAGTGCAACACCAGTACGCGAACATTTTCGCGCTTCTCTCTGCAATTTGAAATCATTCAACAGTGGCAGTAATTATAATGATTTTGCCACAGCCGATGCTCATTTTCCAGATTTTTCACAATTAACATTTGCAGCTGTTGAAACACCAAGTTCAATTTATGGCGGCATTGGTATGGGCATGAGCTGTGCTGACAACACACCAGTTGATGGTGAGGATTTTCTACATAAACGCCATCATTCCATGTGCTATTCCGGTGGCGAGGAGGAAGAATATACCCATTTGTCGGATGATGATGTAAAACGTGAAACGATGCAAATGCAAGAACAGCCACAACAAGATGTCTTTCGTTTTGAGCCTGAAGACATTGCTCGCTTAACCGAAACCAGTCAATATGAGGATATTAATGGTCTGCCTGCCATGCCTCAGACACCGTTTACACCCCAAACACCCTATACTCCATATCCTACCACCTACATGTCATTTACACCTTCGACAACACACCAGCCGCCACAACAGCAGCAGCAACAACACCAGAATGATTTTGATATGTCCTTTAACAGCCAACAAATGGTGTCAGCAGCAGCTATGCCAGAATGTCAAACGTTAAATGGCAGCAACAATGAATGCATCAATTTAGATATAGAATATTATAATTATGATGAAATAAATTGCCAATCTAAGGAACAGTCACCTTGTTCTTCACCACCCCTGGATCCTTGGATGTCTTTGACTTTGTGTGATTCCCTGCAACAACCACCCCGACAAGAATCACCCAAAATAATCAACACCAGCTATGCAGGCTTTACACCTCCACAACAGCTTAACTATGAGCCCAGTATAAAGCAGGAAAATTCTTTAAAAACTAAATTGCCCTCCATGATGTCTACCTTTGGTACACCCAAATATGAACCCTTAAGTGCCTATTCTTACACCGATTATGGAGATTATGGCCAGCAAAGGACTCATATTTATAGTCCTCCCGCTCAATCAGCGGCCAACAATCAGTACTCACAAAATTTAAATTCATTTACTGATGATTTTGAAAACTGCAACATGTTGAATATGGACAAACCAAATAGAGAACATAAAATAATATGGACTATTAATGAGTTGGACGAAATTAATGAAGAAATCATGAGTGAATTTTGCAAACAACCCACACAAAATCAAACTGGCTATGATAATCACAATTACTACTGCAGCAATGACAATTCCACCAATACCGATGAGGATGAAGAAAATAATTTAGAGCTTTTAGAAGAAGTTGATACATTTCCGGAAGATTTGGAATCTGAAGGTGTTGAAGAGGACAATGATGAAGTTTTCATTGTAGAAAAGACCAAAGCTACTAAGCAGCGTAGAAAACGTTGCACCTCACAGACATCAAATGCCTCATCTACAGCTACAGTTCAATCTGTGGTCGAACAGTTACCACCAGAGCCCATGATTTGTCGCTGGACCGACTGTAATGAAATTTTTCCCAATCAAGTGGAATTTGTGGCTCATATCGAAAAGAGACACGTTGATGTTAAAAGAGGTGAAGATTTTTCTTGCTTCTGGCATGAATGTCCTAGACGTTATAAACCCTTTAATGCTCGCTATAAATTGTTAATACATATGAGAGTTCATAGTGGCGAAAAGCCAAATAAGTGTCCGGTGAGTGATAATATATTTTTTATAACTGTTTAAATATATGATTTATTTAATAAGATAACAAATTTTATATGTTTAAATTAATTTCGATTTATGGCAAATTATTAAAAGTTTAATATAAAATATAAAATAATTTACCTAATAAACCTCATGTTAAATAAATTAAATTCTTTACTTGCAACATGTATTGCATTCCACATTAATTTTGTTTATATGAAATTTTATGTGCTTTTTTTGTATAAAAATTTCTTTAGAAACTTTTATATTAATTAAAAAATATGTTTTAGATACAAAGTAAAAGTTTTGAAAATCCATATGGTCACATACCTGTGCAACATGCAGACAACATTAACCCTGATACACTAAACCATTTTGTTTTTAATTTTAAAATGTAATTTGAGATGAAATCTACAAATGCGTTTATTTTTTGCTTTGGGTTCCTCTTTTTTATTTGTTTAGAATAAATAAAATAAAAATTTTTATAAAATAATTTTCATTATATTATTTGTATGTTTTCCCTAAGCATATGCGTTGCAAGTATTGCTGTGTTTGTGCTACACGTGAACAGCTGTCATAGATAACATTTCATTACATTAGTCTTTCACTTGTTGTAAATAAATGATGATGAAAATTATTTAAATGTTGTTTTTTTTCACTTTTTCTAAAACAAACTTTTTACACATATGAAAAAATAACAAATTTTAATGTTTATTTTCCCAAAATTTTTAACAAGAAGGGGTTGAGGTTTAAGTACTATAGTACATGATGATTTTGTTGTTTTTATTTTTACAATTGTGTAGATTTATTTAAAATGAAATCTGTCCAAAAAGTAGCACGTGATGCTATTTAAAGTGGTTTAATAAAGACATTTAATAATTTTTTTTTTGTTTTATTTATTTTTCCATTTTCCATATGTTTTCCTAAAAAGTTTATTATATTCCATCACTTGAACTTGTGTTACTGCCATATGTTGTTTAATAAGGAAAAATATAGACAAGTAAAATTATATAAAGACAAAGTTTTGTTTGTGATAAATGTATAATTGGTTAAGGGAAAAAATTAGTTCTTACTGCTGAAATAATGTTAAATTTGCTAAATGGTTTGTGTAGAATTGTTAAAGAGATGAAAATTGTGAATTCCTGCAAAATTTTGAAACTTGCCACAAAATGTTGCAAGTTAATTTTTTGGTGAAAAGTGGTTAAATTATGCGGCAAGTTCATAAAATGACTAAAAAAACCTTAAAATATAACTAAATTATTAATTTCTCGTAAAACTACTTGCAACAAATGGCAATAATATTCATTTTTGAGTTTTTTTTTTCAACAAAATGTTAAAGAAAAAATCCAAAAAAAAACTCTAAAAAACCAGAAATTATTTGTTCACCTAACATCTTATGGCATTTAACTTAACTTTTTACCACCAACATAAATTTACATATCAAAAGCTCTGCTCAGGTCTTCTATTTAAACTTTTGTTTTTAATATATCTTTTTACCCACTTTTTCCTCTTTCTCTTCATCATCATTATTGACTAACTTTGTTTCTTAATTTATCTTCTTTTATTTTACAGTTTCCTAGTTGCAATAAGGCATTTTCGCGTTTGGAAAACTTAAAAATCCATCAACGTTCACATACTGGTGAACGTCCCTATGGCTGTCAATACAAAGGCTGTCTAAAAGCATTCAGCAATAGTTCGGATCGTGCTAAACATCAAAGGACCCACTATGATACGGTAAGTGTCAAAATATATGCTAATACAATTAAGGTTGAAAAAAACAAACAGCAGTCAGAAATTAAAGGGAAGCAGAGAAAAACAAAAATCATTTTTTTTAATGGCCACTTTTTCATAGAACGATTTTAAGCCCTAAAAATTCTGTGAATTTCAATGAAAATTCAAAAATACATATTAATGTAAGTTGTGTTGTAATAAAATACTTAGAGAGTCAGACACACATCATATTTTGTTGAATGTATTTTGGCATATGTATGTATGTTTTACATTTGAGTGATTTATTGTTTGTGTATGCAGTTGCATAACATGCGACAAGATTACATACATACATATGTACATGCAACATATTGTTGTGAGTTAAATAGGCTTTAAACATTTACGTATTTTTTGTTATTGCCAAAATCCTAATAACAAAAATTGTGGATTTCTATTTTTTCGAGTACTCATATATGGTTGCACATGACTTGAGTATGTGAGTAATGTGCGTTTGATGCCTTACGCCCAAGTTCAAAATGTTTTTCTAACATTGTTTTGTTGTAGTTTTTCACGAAGGCATGTAGAGAGTCCATGCACTACATTTGACAGTTATAAGGCCTAAATATCGAAACAGGTGCGTCTAACATAAAAACTTTTCAAAATTTGGTTTTGCATTATTATTGCGAAATTTGGACGACCATGTTTTGAATGGCTTATAAAAGTTAATGAAATGTTTACATTTGCTGTTAGCTGACCAACCAAACATTTTCGCAAACATACACATACACAACTAAAAAAAAATAATGACACATTTCTTTCGGGGTTTTAAGCTAAAAATAAAACGTTTAAAATGAGTTTTAACGGTTTTTTTTTGGCGAGGGAAAAATTTAAATATATATTTTTTTTCGCAATATGTTGTGGCTTGTAAGTTTTAATGTGTAAATTCAACAAATTATTAAGTGCAACACAATAATTTTACGTAAAGTTGGGTAAAATTTTAACTTGCCACAAAATGTGGCATGTTTAGCATTTTTTTTGGAATAATAGCTGTTATATAACAAAGGCTATCATTTATGTTTATTTTTTTGAAAAAATTGTAAATCGCTTAAATATTTTGAAATATTATACACTAAATATTTATTTAAATTAATTCAATTACTGTTCAATAAATAGTTTTCTCTTAAAGTAAACATACACCAAAATGTGGCATATAATAAAAAGCTGGTAATTATCTTCAAACGTAAACTGTTAATTATAGAAATTATAAACTATGCAATAAATTTAATTATTAGCTTTATTTAATTTTTATTCTTTATACATATGAATTTGCCAATTTTCGGAAATATCAAATTCTAAGAATTGCATAAATATAAATACGATTAAGTATTTGTAAATTTTATTAAATTGACAAATAATCTAATTAAAAGGTGTTAATTAACTTTACAAAATTGACTGTAATATTATTTGCTGTAATATCTCATATTTTCTAGAATTTAAAATTAATTTTAAACTTTATTTTTTTTTGTGTATTTTCAGAAACCCTATGCCTGTCAATTGCCCGGCTGCACTAAACGTTACACAGATCCATCTAGCTTGCGTAAACATGTTAAAAATCATGCTCTACGCAATGCAAATGGTCACTTGGGACGCAGAAAATCCTCTAGTGCTACCACAACAACTAGCAACAAAAAATCAAATGCCAAAACACGCAGACATTCAGAATCCTCTGTGTTGCAGGCTAACAAAACTAAAAACAACACTAATAATAACAATAACATGCAGCCACAAGAAATTGTCATGCAAGTGCAACATGTCAACCACAACAAACCACGTAGTAATAGTTTCAGTGAAATAACATCAAAGTCTAACATTGCAATTGTACATAACAATTATGAAAATAAACAAAAATTAACAAATCTAAATTACAATACACTAAACAATAAACAATTGCAACAACAACAACAACAGCATCATAATAATCACAAGCATATGGTGGCTACAACAGCAACTGAATCATTATCCTCATCATCATTACCATCCACAGCTAATCGCAATTCAATGAACTTTAATGAGTTGTCAAATTGTATAGTTACCATTGAGCAGTACAACAGCAGCAGTAACAAAAACAATCAAATCGAAAATAGTTGTAACAATGAGATTGACAAGAATCATACAGATCAGAATACAGCCAATGTAACCACTGCTTTAGCCACATATAATTTGGGTAACAATACAACAACAGCGACAAACAAGAGCAGCAGCATTGAAAATATTAATCAATTAAATGAATTTCAACAATTGTTACAAGTAAAATCATCATCAACCAAATGCCAGCAACTAACGAATGTGACCAATATTACTGGCAGTACATCAGCAACAACATTAACATGTGATGTTTTAAATTACAGCAGCTGCAGCAGCAACAATGCAAAATATGTAATGACCAATACAATGGCATCAACTGCAACAAATGGCGTTACCACAAATTCGATTAGCACACAATGCCACAATAACATCAACAATATAACCCACACCACCAGCAGCAGTAGCCCAAATCCAGCTACAATGAACAATTGCAGCACTACAATTGACGATGGCAATGACACAAATGAATTTGTTTCATTCGAGTATGTTAAAAAGTTGCTATCCGAAACATTCGATTATATGGATGAGGATAATGATAGTTGTGATAATAATGTACAAAATACAAATTCTATCGAGTCCAACTCTTCCTCAACACCATCGCCATCATCATCATCATCAGCAACAGCATGTGTTGATGTACTTGCTGCTGCTGTGGCTAGTAGTGGTATTGGTATCATTAGTGCGGATAAACTTAAGCCTACAACAACAGTTGCAGCAACAACATTATCATTGTCAACAGTAGCAACAACAACAACAACATTAACAGGGCCAACATTGGTAACAGTAAATGAAACTGTTACTAATGTGTCTAATAAAAATTTACATAATGAAAATGTTGAACAAGAATTTGCCAATAATTTTGACATGGATTATTTGGAAAGTTTTATGTAAAATACATATTAAAAAAAAATTGTATATAATTGGTTTTTAATTAACTTTTGTTTTTAAAAAATTACTCTTAAAATTTAAGTAATGCAACAAACCTACCAAAGACATTAACCAAAATAATTTCATTTTAAATAACCTTGTTTTAACTAGAATTTAAGTAAACCAAAAACAAAATCTCTTCCAAAAGATTCCACCAAAGACATTGAAAACTTTATAAGAAAAAAAAAAAAACAAATATTTTTAATGATCTCAAAACCTCTACAAGTTTGAGTAGTTAAAATATTTAGCTTTGTTTTTATTGCAACTAATTTAAGTTCTTCCTTTTTAATTATTAAATACCTACAAAAAAAAAAACGTTCCTAAAACAAAAACTTTTACTAAGAATTTTTTGTTTTTATACAAACAAAAAAACCCCAACATTTAGTGATGTAATGAGTCTTCCCAAATCCCAGTTTTTATATAAACTTTGATATTAAATTTTAATTATAGCTTTAATCGTTGTTAATAAATATGCAATGATATATACATACTTATATTATTATTTTTTTTTTATTAAAATGCTTTAAACACGAAACGAATTATGAATTATTTATATTTTTATAAAATTTTTTTATGAATAAGTTTTTATTAATTTTAAACTAAACTTAAGTAGAGTTTTAGTAAAATTGTTAATAGTGTTTCTTTTAAAATTTATTATGTAGATATTTCTATTTCTACTTTTAATTTTAATTATAATCTTTTTTTGATTTTGTAGTTTAATAAACTTGACCTTTAAAAAATATTAAATTTATTTTGTTTTATTTTGGTATAATAATGAGGATTAGTCTATTGATAGTCTAGTCTATAGTGCAGTATATAGACTATTTTACTATATAGTTTATCTTCACTATAAATTTGCCTATAACTATATACAGTCTAGCCCACAGTCTAGTGTATAGTCTTGGCTATACTAACTAAGTGCACAGTAGGGTTATAACCAAAATTAGGCCCTATCACTATGTGGTTCTGATAACGAAAACCAGTTTCATGAGACATTTTGGTACGAAAACCTTCCGCGGTAAATCGATTTTCTAAAACTTTTCGCAAACAAATTTGCTAGAATTTTTAATGGTAAAATCTACATGTTTGGGTATTAAAATTGGTAGAGTTATTAACCGCAGCCTAGAAAGAGTAAAGCAATGACTTAAAAATAACTATATATGCAGCTTCCTGAAATTTTCATAGCAGCTTCCATAATTATGAAAAAGATGGAGGGGGGTGGGGGGTATATTGATTTTGTCATTCCGTTTGTAACACATTGAAATATTGATCATAGACCCACAAAAGTATATATATTCTGGTTCCTTATTAATATCTAAGACGATCTTGCCATGTCTGTCCGTCCGTCCGACTGTCTGACTGTTGAAAGCACGATAGAGTCCGAACGGAAAGAGCTAGAGAGTTGAAAAATATTTCTTATAGGTAAGGTTTGTTTATTTCGAAATTCTCTATACTAAATTCTATGAGGATCGGTCCATAAATGACCATACCCCTCATATATGGTTCAAAAATGACTTTAACGCCCATTACTGGCTTAAAAATACGAGTCTAGCGCTGAAATTCAATATAAGTAAGTTTTTCACTATCAAAAATCTATTTACCGAATTTTGTGAGGATCGGTCCATAATAGAAGTGCATATTTTGTTAATCCGAAAGGGATGTGTCCATAATTGGCTTAAGGCCTATGTCAAATATCAACCTAATGTTTATAGGGGAGCTGATTCGGCATAGTCGAATATAACACTCTTACTTGTGTATTTGGTATTAAAATGAGCAATATCATATAGTAGGCGTGGCACATCTCATTATCCACTATATCGATTAATATTGAACTAACAGCATCCAAACATTGTAAGAATTAAATAATTAATTTATTAGAAATAAAAATGGGCGAGATCTGGTTAGTGGGCGTGAAATTTTCTATTAATATCTAGAATAAATATTTTCCAAAATTTTACATGAGTAATTTATAAAAAATTGGACGGAATTAAAATAGTAGGAGTGTCACTTCCTACAAAAATAACAACGAAATCACAACGATGCATAGCCTAAATGACAACAATGGATTATTGCAACGACGGTGGTTGTGAAAATGATAACAGGGTGTTATTTAAATGTTAACAATCGTGGTAAGCTCACTTTTTACAACGGGTTGTATCAATCTTTCCCATTCGCGTCTTTCTGTACCTTACAGTACTATCATACTCACATTCGCTTTTAAACTAGAATAAAAGTTCATTAAGAGTTTGAGAGAGGTAATAACCTTACTTTTTGAGATTTTAAAAGACTCCAGATAGAAACTTGTTTCTTGCTCTAAATCGACCCAAATATACCTCCTAGAGTGTCCAAAAGACTACAGGAAGGTAATAACGAAACTTTTATATAGTACACAGAGGAAAAAAATATACACGCCTGGTACCAAATTGACACCAAATTTTTCAATAACATTCGTTGTCAAGTATATACATATATACAAAAAATGTTAATAAACGTGGTAAGCTCACTATTTACAACGCATTTTGAGCTTACCACGTTTGTTAACTTTTAGTCAACGGATGTGCATAAAGTTTAGATTGCGACAACAAATTGTTAGAGTTTAATATGGAAATAGGTTTTTTATGTCGTATATTTCGTTATTATTTATAAATAAATGAAACAGAAATGAAATACTTAAGAGAAAGTTCACTTCAGTGCAGAACGAAATTTTGTCTTCAATATGCGTCTATTAAATACAAATATACATTCCCCATATACATACGTTTATATGTATTTAACTATTTGTTTCTGGTAATATTTTGTAACTTAATAATGTTATGTTAACAATTTTTACAATTCTTAACTCGTGAACTCTTAGCGATGTATCTTAATTAAATCATGACATACACATACATATTTAATCAGATTTCTTTTTAAGTAATAATGTTCAAATGTACACACACTCACACTCAGGTGATTGCAAACTGTAATAAATTAAATTTATGTTTTTAAAGCACAAGTACAAATATTCAACCAGCAGCCAACCACACACACAAATGTACAATATAATATATATTGTATGCCACCTGAACAAATGCACAATGAATGTATTGCAACCGAACCAATAATGTATTCTTTAATTAAGTTAAAAGTAAAATATCATAAATTACCTGTCGCACAAATGAACAAAAAACACCGAGAAACTGAACAGAAAATAACAAGTAGTTGTAGTAAAAATCAGAAAACTTATTAAAACATATGTAAAATACAATTTGGCTTTTTGTTTTATCATCATTCAACGTCATTATATGGCGGTGATTGTAAATTGCAACAACAAAACCACTGTACCACATAATAAGAGTAAATTACGCGTTAGTAAAAATTAAAAAAAATAATAATAAATGCAAAAACAAGGCAGCAAACAAATCGAATTCAATTGACTTTTCACGGTATCGGGTTGAATTGCATTGAATTGAATCGAAACGAACCGTACAAGTAAATTTCATTTATTCATATTCCTACATGCAATTTAATCATGTGCAATAATAATAACAGCAACAAGGATAACAACAACAACAAAAGTATGTATAATACTATTACACGTTTACCTGTAATACAAGTAAACTTACATTATTTACATACAGACTTCTTTGCTACTGTGTTTATTAGGTGTGTTTAAAATATTAATTTGTTTATTTATAAAAAAAAATTGAAAATTTATTTATTTATAAAAAAAATTATTTATAGAGAATTTTCTAACATTTATCTAATTTATACAAAAAAATAGTTTTTGAGAACATTTCCATAAATATATGGGCAATTTCATGTCATGTGACCCATCTCCAAAAATCGATTTTAATGCAATTTGCATCAAGGTTAGTTTCAGCTCTATCGTTCAAGAACTGCCGGAGTTAGAGGTGGTCAAAGTTTGACATTACGGTCATACAGGGTTTTATTCAAATGAGTGAAACTTTCCACCTATTGGTCCTAGCAAAAATTGTCCAAAGCAGTTCAGATAGCTGTTTTTTCATTGTTTCCAAAAAAAAAAAAACAAGTTAGAGTGCTATATTCGGCTATGCCGAATCTTAAATACCCTCCACCAGCAAGCTACTTTTTATTGAAACCCATCTAACTATCTAATTTTTAGATAAGTCGCCAAAATTTTTGTCGAACTAATGTTGATTAGGTCCAGAAAAATTTAGAATGATTTATCTATACACAGAACATACTTATGTCGAATTTTATCCGGATATAATAATTTAATAACGAATTAAGTGGTATTAAGTGATTTTCAACAGTTAACATTATATGGGAGCTAAGACAACTTCTGGACCGGTCCGGAAAAAAATATACATATGTATTTATATACAAAATACACATTTATGTCAAATTTTATACCTACATGTGTATAAAATGTGCGTTTAAGTAATTTTCAGAAATGGCCCTTATATGGGAGTTGTGACCAAATATGGACCGATCCAGAAAAAATTGTATACCTATGTATAAAATGTGCGTTCAAGTAATTTTCAGAAATGGTCCTTATATGGGAGTTGTGACCAATTATGCACCGATCAGGAAACAATTTCGTATAATGCAGAAAAAGATCAAGTATAATTTTACTCCAATAGGTGCGTTTAAGTGATTTTAGGAAGTGGACTTTATATAGGAGCTATGAGCAATTAAGGGCCTATCCGGAAAAAATTTCGTAGAGTGATTTATGTAAAGACAAAAAATATAAGTGTCGAATTTTCTCAAGATAACTTTATTTGACAATGAAATATGTGCGTTAAGTGATTCTCAGAAGTGGACCTTATATGGGAGCTCTGACCAATAATGGACCGATCCGAGAAAAAGTGGTAAAATGATTTGTATGTACACACAACTTATTCAAGTCAAATTTTATTCCTATAGCTTAAGAATTCAATGAAATATATGCGTGTAAGTGATTTTCGGAAGTGGACCTTATATGGGAACTATGACCAATTATGGGCCTATTCGGGAAAAATTTCGCAGAGTGATTTATATTTGGGCAAAACATGTTTGTGTCGAATTTTATCAAGATGGCCTTATTTGATAATGAAATATGTGCTTTTAAGTGATTTTCGTAAGTGGGCCTTATATGGGAGTTATGACTAATAATGGACCGATCCGTAAAAACTTTTGTAAAATGATTTGTACGTACACAAAACATATTCAAGTCGA